AAAGAGAAGCGATGGAGCCGCCAATGCTGGACATGTTGACGATGGCTGCCTTGCTGCAGCTCATCCCTGAGCCCGGGCTCCCCTGGGCAGCCTTCTTCAGCAAGGGCAGGAATGCCTGCGAGGAGGAAGAGGAGACAGGGGAGACATGGATGTGTCACACGGGAGAGGACCAGCTCCTTCCACAGTGGGCAGCACTGGCACCAGCATCAGAACATTCTCCCTTCTCTCCCCACTGCCCCAGCCTGCCAGGCTCCAGCTCCTGAGCTCCAGCCCATGGCTCCACAAGCTTCTCATCAACTGAGAGCCCATCAGGCTCCAGAGTGGAAGCAGGACCCCCTCCCACCAGCCCTTCACGCTCCCCCAGGACAGCCCAGCTTGGGTGAGGGTCTCACCTGGCCCATCAGCAGAGGCCCAACTGTATTGGTGGTGTAAGTCTCGGTCATGTCCTCCGGTGTCTCATTTTCAAGCAAGGTTATCTTGGCAATTCCAGCATTGTTGATGAGAAGGTTCAGTCCTGAGCCCCCCACGTGCTCCCTGACTGTGGTTGCAGCCACCTGGATGCTGGCAGGGCTGGCAACTTCTGCAGAGCCGATATAGGGGAGGTCAGTGTCCCTGTGGTGGCTTGGGGTGTCCTGTTTTCCCCCAGGGACATGCTTCAGGGCTGGTCATAGGCAGGAGCTTTGGCAGTGCCCGATGGCCCCACAAGCACCAGCCCATTGGCACGGCTCCCTCCCAGCACAGGGACTGCCAGGGTGTGCCCAGTGCTTGGGCACTTGCCAGAGGAACTGGGGCACAGGTTCCCCACCTCGGGGCACCTACCGAGCGGGACTATGACCAGGTTGGGGTGCTTGGAGGCCAAATTCTGTAACTCCTGCAAGAGAGGGCACTGTGTGGGCACAGAGAGGCAGGAGGGGCTGCACAGAGGCTCAGCTTTTCTCAGGTAAAGCCCATGTCATTCTGGCTCCATCCCTGCACTGCTTTGTGCCCAACACCCTGCTCCAGCTGCCCTGCTCCCATCACATGGGGCTCTGTGCCTCTTGCACATGCCATGTGCCACTCTTCCCATTAAACATCCCATGCACAGCTGCTCCCACAGTGTCCCAGCCCGGCTGCCCTGTGCTGTGGGTGCCCAGCCGCAGCTCCAGCCCCTCACAAACCCCCTCCTCGCTCCAGTCTCCACTATGGCACCGAGTGCTCCCGGTCCCTCAGCACAGCCACTGCCTCCCAGCCCAGCCTCACCTTTGCTCGCTGTCCCTTGGGGTCCCGACAGCCCGCAAAGACCCACTGGGGTGGGTTTGGCATCTTCAGGAAGTGCTGGACGAGCCCCAGGCCGATGCCCCTGTTGGCCCCAGTCACCAGAAGGGAGCGGACACGGAGCCCTGCCATGCTGCTCTGTCCTTGGCTGCACTGCTCTCACCCGGACTCTGCCGGTGCCTTTTGCTACTTGGTTATCTCACATGTTCCCATGAGGACTTGCACCAGCCCGTGGCTCTCGGAAATTCTCTGCCTGAACCTCAATCTCTTGGCTGTGATCCATACCCATGATCCACTTTTCCCGGTGGCTGAGGAATGATGCAAAGGGAGCCAAGTGTCCTGCCCAGGCAGGGAATGCCCTGGGCTAGATATCTAGAGTGCTGCTTTCTGTGCCTTCCCTGCTCCTCCAAAACTGAGCTGTTCAGTTTTCAGGGCCAGCACTACTCCTGCACTGAGATGCTCTCTCCCACCACCACCCTCCCTCTTGGGATCCCAGCCTCTGTCCCTCCCCTTGCCCAAGGTCAGACAGGCAAGGCTGGATTTCCTGACCCTGCACAGCACAGTTTGTTGGCCTTAATTTGTGCAATGCCAAAGCCAGCGTTGGGAATGGAGCAGTCAGGACAGGCAAGTGTCCCTTTACCATAACAACAGGCTGAAAAACCTAAAAACCCCCCAGGACCACTGGGAAACCCTCCAGGGCAACCCAAACCTCCCCTGCAGGAAGGGACAGAGCATCTGATGGATGATGGCTGGATTGGACTCAGTGGTCTTTTCCAACCTAAATGATTCTCTGATTCTATGATCCCATGGCCTCCCCAGCTGGTTCCTGCTGCAGCATCACCCAGACTGCACAGACAGTTTGCAACAGCTGAATATGTATATTTAAGATAGTTGGGAGATGTTGTGTAGGTCATTTAAGATTATCAATAACCACAGATCCAGGAGCTGGTTGGGCAGGACTGGGAGGTGTAAGCTGGGGGACTCTCTCCTGCTCCAGCTGAAGATGCTGCTACGAGGACCTTTGCAACTAGACAATGACCAGCCGCTGTGTTCAGAAGATCTGATCCTCCACCAGTGTGCTGCCTCACACAACCATCCCAGTAAATTAGCTTTTGTCTGCAAGAGCAAACCCTGCTCCCTGCTCTTCTGTGTGTGTGGTGGGTTGACCCTGGCTGGATGCCAGGCATCCACCAAAGCCGCTCTATCACTCCCCTCCGCAACTGGACAGGGGAGAGAAAAAATATAACAAAGGTTCACGAGTTGAGATAAGGGGCGGGAGAGATCACTCACTGAATACCATCGTGGGCAAAACAGACTCGAACTGGGGAAATTAACTGAATTTATTGCTAACAAAATCAGAGCAGGATAACGGGATGTAAAATAAATCTTAAAAACACCTTCCCCCCACCCCTCCCTCCTTCCCAGCTCTACCTCCTCCCCTCCAGCAGGAGACAGGGAATGGGGGATACGGTCTGGCCATCACATGTTCCTGATGCTACTCAGGGAGAAGGGTCCTTCCCTTGCTCCAGCATGGGGTCCCTCCCATGGGAGACAGTCCTCCATGAACTTCCCCAGCGTGAGTCCATCCCACGGGCAACAGTTCTCCACGAACTGCTGCGATGTGGGTCACTCTTCCACAGTCCTTCAGGCACTGGCTGCTCCAGTGTGGGTCCCTCCACTGGGTCACAAGTCCAGGAAACCTGCTCCAGCACGGGCTCCTCTCTCCATAGGTCTGCAGGTCCCTGCCAGGATCCTGCTCCTGCATGGGTTTCCCACAGGTTCACAAACCCCTTTTGAGCATCCACCTGCTCTGGCATGGGCTCCTCCACGGGCTGTAGGGGGGGTCTTTTCACCCCCACTGACCTGCAGAGCTGCCCCACCATGGTCTGCACCACAGGCTGCAGAGGAATCTCCACTGCGGCGCCTGGAGCACCTCCTCCCCCTCCTTCTGCACTGACCTTGGTGTCTGCACTGTTGTTCCTCTCGCATATTCTCACTCTGCTCTTCTCTGGCTGCAATTACACCTCTGCAGTAACACTGGGTTTTTTCTTCTTAAATATGTTGTCCCAGAGGCGTCACTATCATTCCTGATTGGCCCAGCCAGCACCTTCTCACAGAAGCCACCCCTGTAGCCCCCCACGCTGCCAAAACCTGTCCGTGCAATCCCCACACAGTGTGGCACTGATCCGTCCTGCTGTGCCATTTCACTGCACTCACACCAACCCATTGATGCAGCCCCAGCCTCTGGCACGGGGATGAAAAGGCACCAACCACATCGAGCCACAACTGAACTGGGCTAGAGGAAGAATCTGCCACCCCTTGAGCCCGAACATTTCCCAGTTTGCTTGGCAGATTTTATCAGGTAAGGGGCTTTAATGCCTTAAGAGAAGGGAAAGGATGTGCAAGCCTGTTGTGGAAGGATGCTTCTTCCCCTGGGCAACCACCTGGCGAGACCCTGCGACTCCTTGGAGCTATTGGAGTCAAAAGTGAATGAAAGAGCATGAAAACAAGGCAAGGTTCCAGGGATGGTTTGGCATTACATGTGCACCACTGAATTGGAAATGGTACCAGAAAGTCGGCAAGAAAATGGGTAATCCTGGAAAGGTTTGCATTGGAAGGGACCTTAAAGCTCACCCTGTTCACCCTCCTGCCAGAGGCAGAGACACTTTCCACTATCCCAGGTTGCTCCAAGCCCCATCCAACCCGGCCTTGGACACTTCCAGGGATGGGGCAGCCACAGCTTCTCTGGACAACCTGTGCCAGGGCCTCCCCACCCTCACAGGAAAGGATTTCTTCCTAATATGCAATCTA